GGCCCCTTTTTCCCATCAGCTGAAGCTCGATTTCCCATCGGAAACCCAAGGAAAACCTAAGGCAAGCTGTGAAACAAACAAGGAACACGGAGCCCCTCCCCAACGAAAAGGGTTCCTTCTTCAGCGCCCCAGCTGTAGGCGGAGGAGCCGGAGGGAGGCAGGAGCAGGACAGGCGCAGGAGGCAGAGGGCACGAGGACAAGCCGGGTGCGCTCGCACCACGCTTGATATCCGATGCTTTCCACGTGCGCATCCCACTGCGTTGAATGTGTTTCTATCCGCCTGCTGGGGTGTCCTGGATGGCCTGGATCGTCGAACGAACACTATCGTTCGGAGCGCGATCAGAAAGGGTGGCGGAAGAGCACAGGGGAATAGCAGGGCAGTGAGGAAAGAGGCGGAGCAGCAGCAGCAGGAGCAGGAGGAACAGGAGGACTGGGGGAGGGCGAAGGGGGCCAAAGGGTGGGGGGGGGGGTCGCCAACATCGAGGAACACATCGGAGCAAAACATGTATGTGGCCCGCTCTGGGGCGAAAGCGCAGACCTGCACGACGGGAGCGGCCAGCACTGCAGCGCGGACGCCACTTCTTCGTCAGGGCCGAAAGCGGTCCGACAGAAAGAGCACGCGCAAGGAACACAATGCTTGAATTCCTCTGTGAAAAGCAATGCGCGACAGGGGGGGTGGGCGCCCACGCGCAGCACGGCAGGATCAGGGGGACAGAACAGAACAGAAGCCCGCCGGGCAGAGGGGGGGGGAACAGTGCTCAGATGGTTCCATGTTGTGGGAGGGGGCGGAGGCGCAGGAGGGCCCACCTCCGCAGAGCCCGCTCCTGGGAGGCGCGACGCGGGCACAGAAGGACGAGGACGGGGGTCTCCGAGATCGGGCCGGCGTGGATGTGCCTCCCAAAACCGCACCGCATCGCCGGTGGATCGGCGAGGCGTCGGCGATGCCGTCCTGGAGAAAATCGGACCCGACGTCCCGGGACCTGGAGACCCCACGCGCTCCGGCCCTATCGTCGGGGCGTTGACCTAAGGAACGAGAAATAAGGAACGAGGCCCCTTTTGCCCACAGGTTACCCTTCGTTTTCCAGTGGAAACCTTCAAGAAAACCGAAGGCAAACTGCATAACATTCAAGGAACACCGAGCCCCTCCCCAACGAAAAGGGTTCCTTCTGCAGCGCCCCGACTGTATATGGGGGGCCTCGAGGGGGAGGGCCGCCTTTTGCATAGATCGCAGGGGTGGCCACCCCAAGTCCGGACGTCAACCAGGCAATGGCTGGCTGGGCTGCAGGTGCGCCCAGGCCCGGAAAAAGCAGCGCAGGGAGACGGAAACGTCCAGCGGGGAGGGCGCGGAGGCGTAGAGGCAGCTGCTGGACGGGAGGCCGCCGTGGGCAAGATGCACGAGGTTGTTGAAGGGGCCCTGGGACACACGAATAAATACACACAAACAAGGAATCCCCATATTTTTCCATATTTTCTGGGTTTCTGTCTTCCCCCCCACTTCCCATATTTTCCTATATTTTTCTGGGAGTCGACGATTAATTGTGTCTGTGGATTTCTTTCCCTCTTGAAAGATGCACGAGGTGCCCACCGAGCCGAACGAGGCCGGAGCCCGTCCAGGACTGAGCTGGACTGAGCGGGATCAAGCGAGCCTGGGCGAGATCAGGCTGGACTCTCGGGCCAGCGGTGCACAAGCGCCCCTGCTGAACCTGGCCGCCCAGGAGAGGCGCCTCTCTGACCGACAGGGGAGGGGATGGGGAAACCAAAAGGTACCGATACCGCTAGCAGCGGTGAGGGGGTGCGTCTGGACCAGAATTCCTGGGGGTGCGTTTGGGTACCAGACCTCTCCGGGGGTGCGTTTGGGCCAGAAGTCCGAGGCGAATCCAGCGGTGGCGACGCGGGCCTCCCAGGAGGCTCCAGACAGGGGAACACCGGCGAAGGGAAGAGGTGTGGGTGCCTCGCCCTCCTCCGAAGGGGAGGCCAGCGCGCGCTCCAAGCTGCCAGAGTCCGGGGCCACTGCCGGCAGCGCCACGGCAGCGCCGGCTCACGGCAGCCAGTGCCGCGCGGCGGCGGAGAGGTGGAGACGGGCAGCGAGCAGAGCGGGCCGACGGCGGCGAACGCGCAGGCCCGCCCGATCGTCGGAGAAGCGAGCGGGCGAGAGCGCCAGAGAGCCAGGCCGCCCCCCCGGACCTCGCGGCCCGCGCTGCGCGGAGCACGACCGCCCCTCGCGCCCTCGCGCGAGGGCAGGCCGCCACGCCTGGCCCGCTCGAGCGCGAGGAGGCGCGATCGCCTCCACGCCCCCCCTGCGGGGAGGCGGGGCAAGCGAAGGCAGGGCGAGGGCAGATCCGCACGAGAGCCAGCCGGGGATCCCTGCGAGCTGGCGGGCATGGAGGCTGCAGTCGGGTGCCGCGGCCGCTGCAGAGCGCCCCGGAGCGCCCATGCGCGCGCTGGGCGAGTCGTGGAAGAAGAGAGAGCAGCGCAAGCATACACCTTCCAAGGTCCGCGCGGATTCCCTCGATCGGCGCTGGACCCCCTCCCTTGGCGCGCGGCGCGCGCCAGGGAGGGGCGGCGCCAGAGGCGCCGCCGGGGGGGGTCAAGGGAAAATCCGAGAACTCCGCGCGGACCTTTCTTCGAACCTGCCCCCACCAAAGGCCCGCCAGGCCAAGGCAAGGGGGGGCCGGACGGGAGTGCAGCTGGCGGTCACGCCGCGCTAGCAAAAAAAAAAAAAGCCCCGGGCCCCGCTCGCGCTGACAGCTGCCGGCTGCCCGCCACGCGGGAACAACGCATCCCCCGAGGGGAAAGGTCCTTCCCTTGGGACCAGTAGCACTGAGGCCCGGGCGTTGCAGTTTGTCCACGCCGGGCGTTCTCGCCCTGGGCCCCAGAAGACCGTCACGCATCGATCCGGCCCGAACAGCGCCGCAGAAAGGCGCGTGGCCTGGGTCTCCAGCCGTGCTCTTCTGCGATGCTGTATACTTGTTCCGCAGCCCAGACCTCCGACGCCGTGTTTTTTTCGCGACGTCGATCCCCAGAGGTCTGGACCCCTTCCCCGGGCCCGGCTTTTCACCCTGGGTTGCGTTTTGACAGTGCCGAGGCCCGGGAAGGGCCCCCATAGGCCGGGAAAAATCTCCCGTCGCGATCTTGTCACGACGCGAGCAGGTCAGGGAACGTCAAGCCTCAGGGGGGAGGGGTCGTCCCGGGTCGTTCTGCTGACGGCTCCAATTAAGGCCCAGGGAGAGGGCCCCCGCAGCGACCGGAAGCGGCCCCGCCTCCTCACGGGCCCCGCTTCCCCGGGGGGGGCCCGTGCCCCTGCTGCCCCGCGGGGCCCCGCGCTGCCCCGTGTAGGGCTCCGCCCGTGGGGCCCCGTGGCCCCGCAGGGCCCCGCTGCCCCGTGGGGCCCCGTGGCCCTGTGGGGCCGCGCTTCCTCGGGGGCCTCCGTGGGGGGGGCCCCCGTCCCCTCCGGGGGCCCCCCGCCTCCTCGCCGTGGGCCGCTCAGCCGCGGCCCAGCGTGCCCTCGTGCTCCTCGTCCTCCTCTGGCGGCGCGCACAACTTGGCATCGCTCGGACGTGTGCATCGTTTCTCGGCGAGAACCATCGAAGACCATCCTGGACCATCGAGCAACCGACAAATGCACGAAACATGGACGTCCGAGCGACGGCAGGACAAAGGGTCAGAAGCCAAGCGAAGGCTGGCAACCCGTGGCTGCTAAAACGGAGCTCCGGGAAATTGTTTTTCTTTCTCCGGGAAGCAGCCCTTTTACTACTTATCTAGTGCGCTGCGTTTTCTTCCAGAAGCTTGTCTTTTCTTCCAAGAAGACCGTTTTAGCAGCCACGGATGTGCCAGCCCAGCTTCCGAAACAGGGTATGGGGTAGGGGGGACGGCTTCTCTCAAGGAGGCTGCTTCTTCGGAGGCGCCGGCCCCACATCTAACTATACAGACAGGGCCCGCGCCTTCTATAAGAAGCAGGGGTGTTCCTGAGAAGCCTTCCCCCCTACCCCTACCCTTCGGTCAGGCGCATCCTCCTACAGGCGGATGTTGGACGGAAATAATAAAGAAGTAGTCAAACCATATTCAAAGATAGGCAGGAAAGACTCCAAACAACCGCCCCCAGACTGTTACTGACTGACTACGTCTGCATAGCCTCCTCCTGCCGGGGACAGGCCCGCCTCCACCCTGCCCCCCCCCCCCTGGGCGCGTGGCCGGCTCCTGCAGCGGGCCCACCCTCCGAGAAATCCGCGCGGACCTCCGAGTTTTTTTACGCTCATGCCACCTCTTGTCCCCCTCACCCTGCACCCCCCCCCCCCCCTTGGGCGCGTGGCCGGCTCCTGCAGCGGGCCCACCCTCCGAGAAATCCGCGCGGACCTCCGAGTTTTGTTACGCTCATGCCACCTCTTGTCCCCCTCACCCTGCACCCCCACCCCCCTTGGGCGCGTGGCCGGCTCCTGCAGCGGGCCCATCGCCTCCGCCCGGCAGCCGCTCCGCCGCGGCTGCGGGGCGGGCCCCGGGGCCCGCGCCCCGGGGCTCAGGGCGAGCGCCGCCTCCGAGGGCGGGGGGCGGCGGGCGGCCTGCGGCACGAGCGCGGGCGACTGCGTGAGCCTGTCGGGCAGGGGCCGGCCGCCCCGGCATTGCTCTCTATAGGCCTGCCACGGCATGTTCTCGGGACCCGAACGTGCTCCAAGAACCAGAAAACAGAGTCCTCAGGACATGAGCCCCACGAGAGAATGCAAGACAGCCCCGGCCAGAAGTGCTCCAAGAGCACTTCCTGCAGACCACGAGAGGTTCTTAGAACATGGTTTGGTAGGCCTGTAGGCACGCCAGGACGCTTCGCCACTGCTTGAAGCCTGGGGCCCACGAACTTGGCAAAGAGCTCCATCACCGCCACGTCGGCCTCGTCGAAGACCTCGTAGGCACCGTCGGGGGAGACCTTGTTGATCATCTGGATCACGCCCAGGACGTCCCCGCCGGCGGTGAGCATCGGTATGGCGAGGATGCTCTGCGTCTTGAAGCCCGTCCGCTTGTCCACGTCCTGGTTGAAGCGACTGTCTGCATACGCGTCCGGGATGTTGATGAGCTTCCCCTCGCTGCAGCACTCCCCAGCGAGACCGGTCGTTTTAGGTATGCGGATCTCCTGGCCAGTGTCGGTGGAGACCGACCAGAGCTCCCCCTTGGCTTCGTCCAGGAGGAAGACCGTGGACCTCTCGCAGCTCACAATCTGGCCTGCGTGCATGGTGATCGTGAGCAGCATGGATTGGATACCGAGGTCCTGGGACAGGCCCTGGATGGTGTTGAGCAAACCAGTCGCGCGCTCACTTGAGCTGATAGCTTCTCTGTAAACCTCAGAATTCCGGAGGGCGATGCCGACGTGCTGTGTGAGGTGCAGCAACATCTTCTCGTCGTTCCTCCTAACATTAGGTCGGGCATGTCCTCCTACAGGCGGATAGTGTAAGGAAGCTAAAACTAGGAATACAATGTTCAAACATATTCAAAATGGTAGAAAAAAAAAACATCTCCAGGCTATGTTTTTACTACTTTGAGTTTGTTCCTCCTGTAGTAGAGGGACACGCCCGGCTTAGTCCTGAAAGGGACCGCCCGCATGCCGATCGGCATGGGGTCGAAAACCGCCTTGTCGTGTGGGCCAACCTTACTGTGCACGGTTTCCCCTGGGCCGTAGGCGACCCGAGGGGGAGGAGGAGAAGGAGGAGGAGGAGGAGGAGGGGGAGAAGGAGGAGGAAGAGGAGGAGAGAACAGGAGGAGAAACGGGTCGCCAAAGCTCTTCGGAGAAACCCTCCACCTTGTTGATGGCCTGGAGGACGCCGACGCAGCTGCCCTCGTAGTCCAGGATCGGAGCCGCCAGGAGGCTGCGCGTGGTGTAGCCCGAGGCCCGGTCGAACGAGCAGTCGAATCGTGGGTCTTTGTAGCAGTCTGGGATGCTCACCGCCTCCAAGTGCTCGAAGACGTAACCGGCGATGCCCTGCCCCATCTGCACCACGATCGAGGTCGATAGGTTGGAGGCGTACAACCGCAGCACGCGGGCCTTCTTGTCCAGGACGAAGAGGGAGACCCTGTCGCAGCTGAGGAGCTGGAGGGTCTCGGAGATCACGATACCGATCGTCTCCTGCGGCACTATCTCTGCGGTGATCTTCCGCGTCACTGCGAACAGGCGGTGCAGGTCGGAGTCCAAGAGCTCCTCGGGGGCAGAATATCATGCCGATGCCGCTACTCCCTGGATTTCCCCCCGAGGTGCGTTCTGGCCAGGATGCCGAGCGGAAGCAAGAACCGCCAGCTGTGAAGACATGCGGCGCCAGGGTCTGTCAGGGATGGTCGGCGCCGCATCAGCGCGGTGCGGACCCACCATACGCCCAGACTTGCGAGGTCCTGATTTTTCCGCTGCGGGCTCCCCGAAAGGACCGACCCCTGCCCCCCGGGGGCCCAGGCGCGGGTCTAAGAGATCCGCGCGGAGCGCCAAAAGCTTATGTTTATGGCGCTTTGTCTTCTTCAACTGAGGGCGCGCCATCTGCGGTACTGCCTCCCCCTTTCCTTTTGGCCTTCTAGACATCCACAGGGGCCCTCCTCCTCCTCGCAGTCCTCCTCCTCATCCTCCTCCTCCTCCTCCTTCTCCTCCTCCTCCTCCTCCTCCTCCTCCCCTCCTCCTCCTTCTCCTCCTCATCCGAACCCTGGGGGGCGGGCGAGGACCTCGACAGAGCTCTCCGCCGCGCCCCGACGAGGCCCGACGAGGGCAACGTGGCGCCACTCAGGCCCCCACGGCGCAGATCGTAGGCTCCTGAGGTCCTCGCTCTCCTCCGCACCCTCGGGGGCGGGCGGGGACCTCGACGGAGCTCTCCCCAGACCCCCTCGCCTTATGAACCGACTCACGGCGGGAGGTTTTTTTTGTTGTTGCTATGTTCGGCCTCTGCATGGAGGACCGCCGAAAACGACTCGAGGTGAAAAACCGGTCTCGGGGACGGGCTCCAGACCTCTGGGGGTCGGCGTTGCGAGCAGATCGCGACGTAGGGGCGTCTGGGCCCGCCGCACCCCGACAAGGCTCCGAGGCTCGACGAGGGCAGCGTGGCGCCGCTCGGGCCCCCACGGCGCAGATCGCAGGCCACGCCCCAAGCGACACCGCACCCTTTGCACGTCGGTGGCTGAGGTTGCAGGGGCCACGGGACACACAGATAAATACACACAAAAAAGAGGATTCCCCATACTTTCCTATCTTTTCTGGGCTTGTGCCTTCCCCCCAACTTCCCATATTTTCACATCTTCTCCTGGGAGTGGAGGATTACTTGTGTCTGCGTGTTTCTTCCCCTCCCGAGAGGTCCTCGCTCTCCTCGCACAGCTCCTGCTCAAGCCGGTCCAGCAGCCACCGGCGCGGGCTCTCGGGCTGGGGCCGTGGCCAGGTCGGCCCCCAGCCGCGGGGGCCAGGAGGGGCGGGCCGGGGGGCAGGAGCGTGCCGCGAGGGCCTGCGCGCGGGCTTCTGACGCAGACGTGCAGCGTCCGGAAGAGCAGCATAGAAAAGCAGGTCGGGGTCTTAGCTCAGCCGTAGTTTTTTTCTCAGGGTCTGCGCCCTTCCCTTGGAATGCCAGGGGCTGTGGCTGTGCAGGGCGACACCAAAGCCGGGGGCAGGAGCGTGCCGCGACGGCTTGCGCGCGGGCTTCTGACGCCAGACGTGCCGCGTCCGGAAGAGCAGCATAGAAGAGCAGGTCGGAGGCGTGTCCAAATGTTAGGCCTCCGGGGGCCCTTTCCCAGTCCCGGGGCCGTCAAGTCGAAGCCAGAGCCCGGACTCCCCAGACAGCCCCTGTTGTGCCAAGACAGCTCCTCAGAGAGCGTTCGCGCATCCTCCTGCTCCTGATCCGCCTGCGCCTTCGGCGTCGTCGAGATGTTCGTCGTCGTCGTCCTCCTTCTTCTTCTCTGCATCCACGTCATTCTTCTTCTCGCCCTTGCCCTCCCCCTTCAACTACGACGACTTCCTCCTCCTCTATCATCCCCATCCTCTATTCCTCCCGCAGGAGGAGGAGCAGGAGGAAAAGGAGGAAGAGGAGGAGGAGGTGGAGGAGGAGGAGGAGGCGGACGACGACGACGACGATGAGGACGACGACGCGGCCGAGGAAGAGGAGGAGCAGGAGCAGGAGGAGCAGGAGGAGGAGGAGGAGGAGGAGGAGGAGGAGGAGGAGGAGGAGGAGGAGGAGGAGGAGGAGGATGGCGCCATCGACAGGGAAGGTGAGGGCCACGAGGTCCGCGGGCTCGACGCCCGCGTCGCCCGCGCCCGCCCCCTCACTCTTATCCGCAAATTTGCGGGGTGCTACGTAATAATTCGGCAACGGAAGAGGAGTCAAATGGTTCGTTTGGGTCTGACCCCTCCTCCCTCCTCCCTCCTCCCTCCTCCCTCCTGCCTCTTGGAGCTCAGATTTGCAAGGGTGTTCCAAAACAGACGGGCCAGACCACCCCGCGCGCAGCACCTCGGAGCTCCGACTTGGCGAGAACGCCTCCAGAAAAATGGGCCAGACCACCTCGCGCACAGTTCCTCGGTGCCCAGAATTGCAAGCCGTCTCGGGCGAAACGAGCTGGACCACCTCGCGCGCGACACCTCTGGGAGCCCCGTGGCGAGGACGGATCAGGCGGCGCCGAGACCCTCCTATAGAGCACAACACGACAACAGAAGTGTAAACAAAAAAGGTTGATCTGGGTCTGGCCCGTCCGCTCTCCTGCCTCCTCCCTCTCAGAGCCCAAAGGTTTGAACAATTAGAAATACCCCAGAATATACGAAACAACATTGCCAACAAATGCTCAAAACATCGTCCCCTGACTTTTTTGTTCCACTATTTTTGAATATCCCCCCCCGCAGAGGGCCAGGCCCGACTTCACGCCCGCGTGGCCCCCGACCCTCCTGGCCCTCGGGGTGGCCTGCCGATGGGGCCGCGAGGCTTGGCCTGCAGCAGCGCCTGCACCACCTGCGCCACCGCCTCAGGAGCGGGGAAGGGCGGCGCCACCACCGCCAGCGCGAGGCGCCGGGGACCCAACAGGGCTGAACCTAAACGGTGTTATCCGTTTTCCTTTCGTTTTCGGTTACCTTCGTTTTGTCTTCAATCCGCCTCTACCGCAAAACGAAGTCGACACGAAAACGGCCCACGAAATCAACAAAAGCACCGTTTAGGTCCAGCCCTGGGACCCAAACCCCTCGGGCCACGGGCAGAAACAAAACGAGAGTTTTTCGTGGCAGCCTCTGCCTCTGGGGGCCCTCGCCAGGCGCTGCAGTGGGACCATCGACAAATAGCTCAGGATGACATAGAGTGGGCGTACACAGACATACTTGTGCTATATGTTCTCCTTGGAGGCGCGCGTCCGACCCAAACATTTAGTATACCCATCTTGTAGTAGATCGTTTCCCGAGAGGTGTGGCCAGAAAGCGCCCGCCACGACGTATGTACTATAAGATTTCTCGGTGCGCGCGCCGCCCCTCGGGGGGCGACGAACATATAGTATAAGCATGTCGGGGTGACGCCGAGAAAAAGAAACCGCATGAACATGAAATCTTGGATGTCAGAGCGAATTCCTTGGATCCGCGCAGGGCACCCCTCCCCCGCGCGCGGAGCGCGCCAGGGGCGTCGCCGAGGGCGCCGCCAGGGGGGCCCAGGCGCCGATCTAGGCAATCCGCGCGGAGCGTCGACATTGAATGTTGATGGCCTTGTGGATGCCACGACAATGGACACCCTAACAGTCCTACCATTGAATTTAAAACGTGTTTGAAATGTAGGGAAAATGTTCTAGACATGTCTCAAACATGTGTTTTACGTGCTCAAAACATGTTTAACACATGCTGTAGGCATCTGGAAATTGTCTGGCAACATGCTTCCTCTCCATTGATCGTCCTCCACAACTCTGTTGCCGGTGGTGCTGCCTCATCTTGCCGTCGCTCGGACGTCCATTTCCCGTGCATTTGTTGGTTTCGTGCGTGTGTTTTTTGCTCGATGGTCCAGGATGGTCCGCGATGGTTCTCGCCGAGAGAAAGTGCACACGTCCGAGCGATGCCAAGTGGATCGTCCTCCACAACTCTGGTGGCGGTGGTGCTGCCTCCTTCCCCCCTCGACCGCCTGCTCCACCCCGCGCCCCCTGCAGTAGAGCGCGGCCGCGGCCCTCTCGTGGCAGCCCGCCGCGGCCGCCATCCGGGGTCCGATCTGCGGGGCCCTCTGGCGCTCCCGCCCCGTCTCTTGTGCGGGGCCCGCCGCGGTGTGGGACGCGCGCAGGAGCGCGCCCGCACGCCGCCAGAATGCCTGGCCAGGGCCTCCCCGGGTCCTGGCGCCACTGGGGTTGTGGACGCCACGACAACGGACACCCTAGGAATCCCATCATTGAGCTTCAAATGTGCTTGAAATGTCGGGGAACTGTTCTACACATGTGTTAAACATGTTTTTTACATGTTTACGCCTTGTTGAACACATGTTTTAGACATCTGGAAATTAGTTGGCAACATGTTTCCTCTCCATGGATCGTCCTCCACAACGCTGGGGAAGTTAAAGCATCAATGACACGCCGCCGTGGGGGAGCCATCGGCGCGCCGCCGCTGAAGAGTCGGGGAGACGTCATTAGGACTTGGGTCTGGGGGGCTCGGGCTGGCCTGGCGGGGCCGTCAGGAAAACATGACGGGAGCGAGTCCAAAAATCGGCGCGAGCTCCCGCTGCAACCAGCCCGCGAAAACTGGACCCTCGCAGCTCGGGACCCGGGCCCGTGCCAAAAGAGCCGAGGCCCGACTTCCGGCGAGCACTCGAGTCTTGCGCTCTTCCCCCGGAAGGAACACCAGGCCTTCGTGCAAAAACTGAGGCGCCACACGCTGACGGCTCTCACCATCCCCCCCCGACTCGCGCAGACGCCCTCCACAGGCTGAGGCCAGGAGCGTCCGTTCACCATCCTGGGCAGGACCAATCGGCATCGCAACGGCTCACCGGTTCGCATCGGAAGGCGGACCGCGCCGGGCCGCTTCGGCAGGGACGGGACCAAATCTGATCGGCCGCGCCAGGATGCGCAGCAGCGCCGTGCGAGCAGACCAGACCCCGACGTCATGTTTTTTTTTGACGTGACGTAGCCCCAGAGGTCCGGACCCCTTCCCGGGGACCGGTTCCTCATCCCGGATCGTGTTTCGGCGGTCCCGAGGCCCAGGAGGGGCTCTCGGAGCCCGCAACTAGCAAAAAAAAGACTCCCGTCGCGATTCCTGTCCCCGACGCGACGCGCGAGGGGGTCTGGGGGCGGGCCGCCTCGAGATCGCAGGAGCCTCGGGGCGGAACGGCATCGGACTGGGCAACAGCAGCCCTGTGTGAAGGGGCCCCAGGACACACAAATAAATACACACAAATCAAATAATTCCCCATATTTTCCAATGTTTTTTTTGGTTTCTGTCTTCCCCCTCCCTTCCCATATTTTTGCATATTTTCCTGGGAGTCGACGATTAATTGTGTCTGTGTGTTTCTTTCCCTCCTGACTGTGGCGGCGTGTGCAGCGCGCCTCCTGCGGAGATGGGAGCGGCGGCGGGCCCGTGGGGAGGACGCAGAGCCCCTGGCCCCGCCCGGCTCTGCGGGCAGGGGCGGTGGCCAGAGCCAGAAGAGGGCTGCGGACGGAGGACGGGCGAGTCCTCCTCCCAACTCCTCCTCCTCCTCCTCCTCCTCCTCCTCCTCCTCCTCCTCCTCCTCCTCCTCCTCCTTTCCTCCTTTCCTGGTCCTTTCCTCCTCTTCCTCCTCCTCCTCCTCCACCTCCTCCTCCTCCTCCTCCTCCTCCTCCTCCTCCTCCTCCCCTCTTCCTCCTCCTGCCCCTCCTTCTCCTCCTCCACCTCCCCCTCCTTCTCCTCCTCCTCCTCCTCCTCCTCCTCCTCCTCCTCCTCCTCCTCCTCCTCCTCCACTCGGCTGCGGGCAGGGCGGTGGCCGGAGCCGGAAGAGGGCTGCGGACGGAGGACGGGCGAGTGTGGTGGCCGTCATGGCAATCAGCAAACCCAGACCTCCTCGCGTTGCGCAAACAATTGCGACGGGAAGTTTTTCGCTAGTCTGGGTCTCCAGGGGCCCTTCCCGGGCTTCGCGACCGTCAAAAAACAACTCGGGAGGGAACAAAAACAGTCCCGCGGAAAGGGTCCAGACCTCTGCGGGTCGACGCTGCGAAAAAAAACACGTCGGTGGTCTGCGTAGGGAGCAGAAGAGCCAGCCTCACGATGTGCACCCCTGCCGGCGGAGCCTCTTGGGAAACGCGCACCCGAGGAAGGGGTCGAACAGGGCAGGAGTGTTCCGCAGACGCCGAGGACTGTTCCGCAAGCGCCTCTGAGAGCGGGGTCGGGTGTTTCCTCCTTATTTGGCAATAGAAGTAGCAATGACCTGGCCATCGCTCGGACGTCCATTCCCTATGTGTTTTCCGGTTTCGTGCGTGTTTTTTCGCCAAATGATCAAGGATGCTCCTCGATGGTCCTCGCCGAAGGAAAAATGCACACGTCCGAGCGATGTCAAGTGACAGTAGTAGTGGACAGTAGTGGTAGTACT